TCAGCTCGGGCTGGACTTGAACTGCTGTTGCTCAGAGCTCAAACTCTTGAGTGAGCTCTTAACCAACTGAGCCACTCAGCCGGCCCTACAACATTAATTATATTCCTCGAACTGTCTTTCATGTCCCTGTGGCAAAGGGAGGATTCTTGAACAAGAAACTAACTACACTGTTAAACCTTTATGTCAGAATTCCTAAGGACATAATGGGGGTGGCTTGTGCCTTCACCCCATCAGGCAGAGTTCGGGCTGAGAGCGGATGGGGCTGTGTTGCCTAGTGGTCGGGACAGTTCACGAGTTTTGTACCTGTGTAACCCTATGTGGGGGGGGGCACTTGCTAGACTAGCATTACTGTCTGCAGTCTAGATTGAACCTAACATCTCTTTCAAGGGTGGAAAAGTCTGGGTGAAGATAAATGACAAATGGAGAGAAGGGGAAACGATAGCAGAGGGCAAAGGGATGAGTAACTGGGTTATGCAGCAAGGGAAATCCAATATTTTATTTGTACCTCAAGAGAGGCTGAGAGGCCACTGGTTAGCTCAGTTGGTTAGAGCGCAGTACTCATAACACCAAGGTTGCCGGTTCGATCCCCATGTGGGCCACTGAGCTACGCCCTCCACAACTAGATTGAAACTACTTGACTTGGAGTTGATGGGTCCTGGAAAAACACACTCCCCACCCCCCCAAGAAAAAAAAAGATACAGGTGGGCTGCGTTCTTTCTGGAGACTCTAGGGCAGAAGTCAGTTCCAGAGGCACCTGCATTCTGTGGCTCATGTCCCCTCCAACCTGTCCCTTGTCACCTCTGACTGCCTGTCTCCTCAACACTGAAGCCTTGAGATCACATTGGGCCCTCCTGGGTAATTCAGGATGATCTGCTTATATTAAGGTCAGCTGATTCACACCCTTAATTTCATCTGCAACTTTAGTTCAGTGAATGAACTAAAGTGAATATTCAGGCTCCAGGGAATAGGGTGTAGACATCTTTGGGGAGGGATTATTCTACTACACAAGTGAGTAAAGGCTAGGGATGCTCTTAAACATCCTACAGGGCACAGGACAGCCCCACCGATGTCATTAGAGGTGACAGATGGCATTTCTGAACAGAAGGGGTCAAAGGGAACCTGGGGAGATGAGATCTCGATCTGGGTTGTAGACACACAGGTGTATATAACATGTAATTGTTAAGATGTGCAGTTTACTCAAAAGCATGTTACACCTTTCAAAGACCACCAATTGTTAGAAAAGTTTATGATTTTAAGATGAGGTAAATACTAGAAACAGCTGGAGGAGGTGAAAGCAGTTGTCCCTGGAGAGCAGGACTGGGATGTGGAAGGGTGACACAGGGACAGCTTTATTTTTTCTCATACTAGCATTTGATATATAATTTTTTTTTAATGACAAAATGAAGAGATTTGCTCCTTCACTGTCGTTAGGATGGAGTTCATGTTGGGGACCAAGCTCTGTACCTGGGGTTGGGAGTACTGATAGGAAGCAGGTGTGGTCCCAGCCCATGGAGGGCTTGGTCTGGTGTGGGGGGAAGGTGGTGTGCAAATAGTCTGAAGCCATGATCAGTCACTGTCTAGGAGGGGGCTGTTGTGTGGATGAAAGGAGAGGTGAGCCCCAAAAAGGACAGTTTGCTCTCATGGGCTATTCTGATCATCACCTCCTGCCGTGGAACTTTGGCTCCAGACCTCCAGTGCGGGTGGGGTGGGCAGAGGTCTTGTACTGGGCTCCTGAGCTCACAGCTGGACAGGGCACTGAGCCCCTCTTCTGTGCCCCAAATTGGGAGTCCCCAGGGATCATCAAGCTATTTTGTGCATTGCTCCCCTAACCCACATGCCTTCTGCACACCTCACCTGACGGGCACTCCCCACCGCACTCTGTCTCAGTGTAGCCTTCATGCTTTACCTGCACCCTGACATTTTCACTCCCTAGGGTCCACAGCCATCAACAAGCCAGAGAGATCGCTGGTATTTAAATTTCAGACACTGAACGTATCATTGTGCAGGGTATTTCTTTGCTGAACGTTGCGTTTTGGATGGAGATTTATTTGTGCTATTGATAGCTCTCTTCAATTTTGTAACTGCCACAGGGACTTCCATTACAGCATACATAGATCACAACTGATCAGTTTTCATGTGGATGACGCTCTCCTTGCAGAAGTTCCCCGGGCCGTCTCCAGGGGGCGCCCTAGACCCGCCCAGGCGGGGCTGCAGTACGCCCGGGATTTCAGGGGCACCGCGGTCCCTAAAAAGGGAGGAGGCGGTAGCACCAGGGGATCCTGGAAACCTGCGTCGTGCCACGCTGCCCGCCCACCGAGCACTCCAGGAGGCTCTCCAGGCCAAGGGGACCCAGGGGAGCGCGGTGGGAGCAGCTCTCTACGGTCCTTCGGGACCCTCCAGGCATGGAGGCGGCTCCCTCTACACCCCCACCCACACCCGTCGCTGCGCCGTCACCCCTCCATCAAAGTGTTTTCACCGGCAGTTTAAGGGGGCGGGGCAGCCTCTGGATCAACAACAGCAATAAATGGTAGCCAGAACCATTTATTGAGTGCCTATTGTGTTCCAGGTACGGTGCCAAGACCCACACCTGCATTATTAACGTTCACAGGTGCGTACTATCAAACTCAGTTTACAAATGAGGGATCTGAGACAGGAAAGTTTGAGGCACTTACCCCTTCCCCCACACCTACCACCATCAAGCATGGGGAGCTGGACTCCAGGGCCTTTGAAAGGACGGCTGCTGCTTCTAAACTTCCCAGGGGACCTCCAGAACCTACTAGGGCCCCTCACACCTCAAAAGCAGGTGCCATCCTCTACACATGCACCTATCCCTCTCGACTTTGAGACTGAGAGGAAGGACAGGCCCAGACTGTTCCCCCAGCCCCAGAATCACCCCTTTTTATTGAGACAGGCAGAGGGCGAAGGGAGGTTTTCATGGAGACCTGCAGCTGGGGCCCCCTAACTGGAACTCTTGGGCTGGGGGTCTAGGTTGGACTACACACTCCTCCCACTGCTTGCCCAACAGGTGACCCAGAACAAGTCACTTTCCTCTGGTTCCTCATTGGTAAATGGAGTCAATAATTGTCCCACCTTGTGGCATTGTTTAGAGGTCAAAATAAGGTATTTCAGGATCCCTGGTGTCTGAAATCTAGAGGGTGCCCCAGGAATGGTGTTTCTGGGTAAGGTCTGATTATTTTGAGGGTTGCATCCTCCCTGGGCTGGGGCTCAGGCATGAATGGGTCAGGCCCTGGCCTCTGGGAGGGGGCTGTTAAGCCTAGACAGGTACAGAGGAAACTCTGGGGGACTATTCAGTTGAGGGCCATTTAAGCAGGATCCTGAAGGATGAGTAGGAGTTTGCCAGGTTGAGAAGGAAGACAAGGACATTCCAGGCACAGAACACAGAGGTGGGCACAATTATGGGTTTCTGGGTGAGGCCAAAAAAAAAAAAATTGAGACTGGCCAGAGGAAGTAGTCTTAGGGGCACCATGACACCCCCATCCCCAGAGTCTAGGCTAGAGGTTGTTAGGGCCTTATCCTGCCCAGGCCAGGGCTGGGGGTATGAGGAGGCACTGACTCTTTTCTGGAAGTCTTGGGGAACCATTAACCATCTTACTGGGCAGACGAGGGCTTGACGTAGCCAAACTTGTGGTTACAAGCATCCATTCTGGCTTCAGCTGGGAAACAGGTTTGTGGGCAGAAGCTAGGGTTGGGGGAAAAAGGAAAGGGTGTGGGGACAGAGAGCTGTGTTAGGCGAGGACCAGAGACAGGCCCCCAAGGAGGAGCTACACAGAGAGGCCCTGAATGTTGCAGAGGGACTCGCCAAATCACCTCTGCTTTACTCCATCAGGGCTCTGCCCGGTGCTCCACCTGTAAGAGTTCTGGCTCAGGGGCATTTCTTTGCTCCTGACCCGCTCCCACCCCACCCTCAACCCCTGTGCCCTGGCAGTTCCTCTCCTTGGGAAGAGGAGGAGCGCCCCCAGGGGAGCATCAAGATGAGTTCTAGCTAAAGGCCCACTCAGCTAAGGTGCTCCAGTAACCCACGTCCCTGACGCAGCAGCCTGGGCTCTCTTATTCCTCCATCCCGCCCCCTCCTCTTGGGAGCTTAGAGGCTACTGCGGGAGTGAGCAGGGGCGGGGCCACTGAGCTGTTATAGTTGGACCACCGGGGACCAAGTCCTCGCCTGTAGCTTCCTGCGCTCCGGCTCCTGGCCCGCCTTACTAGGTAGCCATCGATATGAACACCCTGGCACGGGGCATGGGAGTGCGGGGAGCCCCTGCGAGCCGGCGGCTGCTCTCACTGCTGCTGCTTCTTCTGTTGCCGCTGCTCGCAGGCTCCTGGTACAAGCACGTGGCGAGTCCCCGCTACCACACCGTGGGCCGCGCCGCTCGCCCTACGTGTGGCGCCGCGCGCTGCACCCCGCTGCGGAGTCCCTTGCCTGGGATACCCTTGGCCTGGGCGCGGCCCCTAAGGGGCTGTCTTCCAGAGACACCCTGTCGTCGGGGCCTGCCGCCCGCGATGCTGTCCTGCCTTCCTCCGGGGTTCAGGAACTGTGGGGGGTGCGACACAGCAGCTCCCGCGCAGGGCTCCCGGTCAGTGCGCCCCGGAGCCCGCGCCTGAACCTGAGCCGCGGCTGGACGCGGATTCCTGGACCTCAGCGGAGCAGGCCAGGTACGTGGGGAGAGAAAGTGGGGACGGGATGGCAGCAGGCTCGCGAGATCCAGCCGGGAGCGCACGTCCCGGTGCCCACCAAGCACCCTCCGATCTTTTAAGTCCCGATTCCGCGCGGAAAAAGGCTTTCTTAAAGCACGGTGCACCCTTCCAGCCTGGGGCGGGTTGGTACTGGTGGACGCACAGCTGCCTTCTCCCACGGTCCTGCTCTGTTCTTTCTAGAGACTTCGGAGTCTCTCGCTCAGCCGTGATTCGTACAGCGAACCGCCTTCGCGGCCCCTCACCTCGCTCCTCGGCCGTCCTGAGCTCAGCCCCTGCCCGTGGCGCCCCTGCGCCTGACCCAGGCGAAGTCGCTTGGGCCTCCAGGGCGCGCGGCTCTGGTCAGACCCGGCCATCTGGTCAATAAAATCTGCCTGGTTCCTATGCCCCTTGTGTGATCCTTTTTCCTCAGCAGCATGTACTTTGCCATTTAGCTTTGGGGTGCAAACAGCCACACTCGTGCCCTTGCAAATGTCAGGAGCCCTCTGGCTGCCGGGTAGAATCTAACCCTCTTCCCCCACCCACGCCTTGATCTGTTTGCCCTGGGCAGAAGGGGGGACAGAGGCAGAGACACTGCCTGGCTCTGGGCTCCCTTCTTCCTTCTCTGCCAATGCTGCCCCTCCTGTTCAGGGGTGGGGTCATCAGACCAGGTCCCAGCGTCCCCCAGGAGGGGAGGGGTCTGCTCCTAGGGCAGGAGTAAGTCAGACCCTGGGTCCTGTTGCCATCTACCAAGGTGTACAGGAGGAAAGCAGGAGCTTATAGCTCACCCACTGAGCTGGAGCCCCCACCCCCAGCCTCCCGGCAGCCCCACATAGTGCCCCCTCACTCTGCCCCCTGGCTCTGTGGGGTCCAACGGGGGCAGGACCTCCAGACCTGGCAGCCCACCCAAACTTTACCCCATCTCCCAGCATTCATTTCAAACCTGGATCTTCTAGGAACCTCTCCCTGCCCTTAGCTGAAGGCTTCTGGAGAGGAAGTGGGAACTCCCTGCCCCTTTCTTCACAGCCATGCTCTCCCCCTAGAGAGGAAGAGCCCTGCCACCTGAGTCCCCTTGCTTCCTCAGAGATCCCTTCACCTCTTATCCCTCTCTCTGCATTTTTAGTTATTGGCTCCAGCCCCCTATGGAAAGTGCTCTGCCATCTTGAATAACAAAGAACTCCCTCTACTCGAGCTCCCTCCTGCTACCTCTTCAACGTTTTTTTCAGTGTGGGCTCAGACTCCCACAACTGTCCTGGACCTTGAAAAGCCTGGACACTGTGCTCTGATGCCGTCTGCCCTCGGAGTCCTCCTTTGGCCATGTGGCAAGGTCTCCCCTTGGGACACCCAGCACGGACTGCCGGAGGGGTCCCATGTCTGTCTAGCTGTCTGGCTTCAGATGCCCATGTGTAACCAGCCCCCATTGGCCTCTGGAAGGTCATCTCTCCTTACTGGCAATTCTTTCTCATCTCCTGGGTGCATCTTTCTCCCCACTTGGTCCCCTAATGTGGATGCTCTTTTACTCCACTCTCCCAATTCTTACCCTGAATTTATTTACCCTGATTCCACCCAGATTCCCCCCCCCCCAGGATCTGAACTGGGGGAAGAGGTGGTCCCAGACTCCTCAGGTCAACTCATTCTCCCCCTCTGAGCCCACTGCTGCCCCTGCTCCTCCCCGAACTTGGCCTTTCAAAACATGGATGTCCTGACCTTATCACCCCCAGTGCACACTAAAAAGGGCTTCCCACGGTTGGTGGGACTAAATCTGTGTTCTGGGTCTGGGCCACAGGACTGGACCTATCCCTGACTCTCATTGTTCCCTCCCCTCCCCACACAGCCTGCGGACACTGCATTCCAGAACAACTCTATGGTCCACCCTGAAGAACTCCAGGGCTCCAGGCCGGGTTAATTGCCCCTCCTTGGGGCTGCCCCAACCCTGGGCCTCCCCTTGCCAAGGTACACAAATCCCTGTTTCAACAGGACTCAAGAGAAGTTTCTCCAGTGCTTGCCAGCGCTTGGCGCCAAGTGGCCCACAAATATTTGCTCATAAGTGCTGGAACACTTGGTGAGGGGCCAGATCTCATGTTGTCTGGAGGTACCCCAGTTCAGAGAGGTTGGTGCTAGGTCCAAGGTGAGGGATCATAGCTGATTAGGGGCTAGGCAGAGGCTTGGCTTCTCTGCCTACCACCCTCATGGCCCCCCTATGCCCCTGTAGGGAAAGCAGCCCTAGGACGCCATCCTCATCCCAATCCCTATCTGGCAGGGCAGGACCCAGTCAGAGCCACAGGGGCAGGGCCTGGGGCAGCCCCTCGGACAATGCAATCTCAGCCAGAGCCCGCAAGTGGCGCTGCGCGGCTGCACTTCTGGGATACAGCCCCGATTCGCGCCTCTCGCGATGGGAGGGGTTGGGGTGGCTCGTGGGCAGGGCCAGAGAGGGGTGGGCGGGGCACAGTCGACCAGGCGCCCTCGGTTAGTTTCCTGCGCGTCTTCTCTCTTTGGTCCTCTCGGTTCTCTCCTTCTCTCTCCCTCTTGTCTCTGGGTCTCCTTCATATCTCTTCCCGTCGCCCTGGTACCGCCTGCTCCAATTTCGGGCTCGGAAATGAGGCCTGGTATCTGAGAGAGGAGGCCCTAAACGAGGCCTGGTCATCCCACGGGGCCATTAATGCCCATTAGGGAGGCGGTGCCAGCCGATGAAGCTCTGGGTTATTACCCGGGCGTCAGACTAATGGCTCCACCCCCCAGACAGGCCGGAGCCCTTCCTCTGACTGTGACCAGGCCTCTGCCCACCGCCACACCCCAAGTCCCCGCCCAGGCCCAGGCTCCGCCCTTCGCTGGGGCCCTAGTAGCAGTGAGCTGGGCTCAAAGCTCAGAGGAAAGCCCCCTCCTTACCTCAGGAGGACCGTCTGACAGAGCAGGGGTGTAGAGCACTGAAAGGTCTCCTCACCCTTTGTCGCAAGGCCTGCATAGCAGGGTGGCAGGAGTGGGGTGACGAAGTGGGGGGTTGGGTATCACCCAGACCACCTCAGACCTGACTTCCCGCTGGCCTCGCCACTCCCCTCCCCTCCTCTTTCCCCCAGGAACCCCAAACAGTTTACAGCTCCTGGACACCTTTCAGCACACACTTCTGGGCCTCTGCCTTTGCCTCTTTCTCTATGTCTTTCACTTCCATCACAGCACCTGAGGCCTGAGGCTGGAAGAAGTGGCAGGGGAGAGTTTGCCCAAGAAAGCTTCCTCATGGCTGTCACTCCAGGTCCTCCACACTGATCCTGCTCCCTCTCACTCATTCCTGCTTCCCCTTTGGAATTTTTACCTGCAGTTCTTCCCTGGGCCTCCGTTCTGTTGCTGTTACCCACTTCCTTTGTTACCCGCCCCCTTTGTTACTGTTACTTTCCTGGGTACTTTCCAGGCTTTGGGGCCTCCTTTGTTATTCTGGGATGCAGTCTTCTTCCTGGTCCCTGGCTGTGACCACATGCCCTGTCACCTCTCCCTCCAGCTGTGTTCTGTTCCCATCCATCTTCACACACAGTCTGAGTCTTGGGCTGTGGAAGGTGAAAAGGTCCAAGACTGATCAGGAGTGGCTGTCCTGTGGATGGAGGAGGTGGTCTCCAAGCCTTCTGACCCAGGGGACCAGGGCCCTCTACCTTCTCTGGTGGCCTCCCATCCAGCCACCTCCCTCAACTCTGGTGTGGCCCCAAAGCTACAGTCTGGCAGGTCCTGGGTGGTTCTGGTTGCTATGGGGTAATCCCTTGGGGGTGGTGTATGGTGGACCTCCCTGCCCACACCCATCCTCACAGCATTCTGGGGCAGAAGCACCAGGTTGGGTCCAGGGAGGCCAATCACAGGCCAGACAGGCAGCCTCTGGACAGGCAGACAGATGGAGGTGGCCAGCCATACGGGAGCCTATGGCAGCATCAGCCAGGAACTCAGAGGTGGGGGTGGGGGAGGAGTCATGATGCTTTGGCCTAAGTGGCTTTTAGGGGCAGCAGTTGGGGTGTGGATACCCAAGGGGCTAAGGCCCAGGAGACTGCCCAGAGGCAGGCCTTGTGCTTGGGCGGGGGCTGGAAGTCCAAGCTGAGGGCACTGGAGAGGGGAGAAGTAGCAGCAAGGACTGGGCCTGAGCTGAGCCTACTCCTGCCCTCATGGGGAACTGTCTGGGCTGGCTGTACCTGACCCCCAGGCACCAGGTATGTGCAGGGGGCTGGGCAGAGCTGGGGAGGGGCAGACTGAGGGGAAGCCTGTAGCCAGCTGTCTTCTGTATCTGAGGCTGTGAGGGCTATGGACTTAGAATCTCAGCCTTGGGGCCAAGAGGAGATGGGAATCTCACCTTGGTCTCGTCCCTCTCCAAACCTCAGTCTCTTGATCTGTAAAATGGCCTGAGGCCCCTAGGGTTCTTCCAGGTAAAATGCTCTCAGAGGCAAGATGAAGCATAAATGATTCTTCATTGTGATTATTGTCCAGTTGGGGGAAGAGGGCACTCATCCTGGGACAGGGGTAGAGGTTAGAGGAGGGCAGTAGAGGTTGGGGGAGGGAGATAGAGGCTAGGGAGGGGGAGGAAGGAGGTAGCGGGGGCTCTGGGTAGAGGAGGGGAGATACAGGTTCCTGCTCATGGAAACAGCTCCTGTGAGTGCTGACCACAGGCCAGAGCTCAGAGGCCAGAGTCCTCAGCACATTTCATCCCAGGTCAGGAGGGGGGTAGCAAAGACCTTCTCATCCCAGCCAGACAAGAGCATTTCCTTCCCCCCACCCTTCCTGTCACCTACCAGGCCTGGGATGAGCAGAGTCATGAGTGAGGGGCCTTGGCACAGGAAGGGAATGATGGGGGGAATGTTTAATGGACATACACAGCACAGATCTGCACAAACACTCCTGGGGAGGGCCAGGGAGTCACCCCATCACTGACCTCCAGTATATAGGGAGGGGCGGCTGCCGTGTCACTTTCAAACCCCTCTTTTTGCCTCCCCAACCATCCTGGGACTCTGTGCTGGGCCAGGGCACCTGTGAGTGCAGGAAGGATCCAGATATATGGACAGTGGTGGTGGTGGTGACAGCGGCAGTGTGGCCTCCCAAGGAGGATGGGCAGAGCTGTGGCCCTTGCTGTTATCCTCTGTCCCCAGTGTGGGAGGGTCTTTGGGCCCTAGAACCCTTTCCCCATCCCTCTCCCACTTTAAGAGCCTATCTCCAGTGCAGTGTCCTGCATGCAGTAGTTGCTCAATAAATGTTCCTGGAATAGGAGGCAAAGGCGCTAGAGCCAAGGAGGCTGCTGAGAGTGAGGGCGAGAGAGGTTCCGGTGATTCGG